AACACCTAAATCTTTCGGTACCTAAAATCTCGCTTAAACACTCTTTTTCTGCAACGCTATAATTGTGCAGTGTGGAAACGAGTCTTTTTGAAATATATGATACGGGTCTCTGTTCTCCCTTGCTATTTATCTGCAACAATACTTCTGCAATCCCTTTATTACTTGCATCACATTGCAAAAATAATGTTTGGTGGAAAATTGGACTTATCAGCACCGGCGCTGATGTCAACGCTATTTTTAGTTCTTCAAACACTGTCTGTGCCTCGGGTGTCTACGTAAACTAAGCTTTTGACCCTAACAAGTCGGTTATCGGTGAAGCTAATTCCGATAAATTTGCAATGAACCTCGTGTACATCCCGCTAATCCTAAACATCCTCGAGTTTGTTTCAACGATTTCGGAATTGACCAACTCAAAATTGATTCAATCTTGCTTAGATCCGTGGATATTCCTCCTAAAACCTATGGTAAATGCCAAGTATTTGGCAATCGTTACAACAAATTGTCTTTTCTTTATATTCAAGGTTTAATTTTCTATTAGAAACCGCTCCGCGAACTTTCTTAAGATAGCAACATGCGAATTAAGGTCTACGGAAACTACACATAAATCCTCCAAATATGCAAAACAACAATTCTTCAAATCTGGTGGTATATGTTCGTCCATGAGTCTACACATAGTCTGCGGAGCATCACGAAGTCCGAACGGCATTACTTTAAAATGATATAATTACCAACCAGGGACTGTTAGTGCAGAAATAAAAAAATATAAAAAAAATATTAGGTTTTGGCAAACTTGTGAATATACCGTCTATTCTCGGTAAAGGATATGCATCTTTTACGGTACAAAATATAATATCCTGGCACCTAAAAATAACCCTACCTTTCTTACATACAAGCCTCATCGGAGAGCCTCAAGCTCTTTTTGACTTCTCAATCACGCCAAGCTCTAACATAAGGTCAACTTCAACATATATTAACTTTTCTACGGCCGGTGAGAGCGGGTAGGCTTTTCGTTTTCCACGTCTATATGGTGCTTCAGCTAAGAAGCGCTTCCTAAACCTTGCCTATCAAATGAAGGAAATTGTGCAATAATCGATTGCAACTAAGCTTGTTGTACTACCGTCACCGGGTGCTTTTGAGTTTCCAACTCCGATATTTGCTTTGATGATTCTAAGCTCGAGATAAGACCTGGCGCTAAATTGAATTCTTTCCAGAAATCTATTCCTAATATTGGTCGAATAACACACATTCGCAATGTTCGATTTTGCCCTAGATAAGTGACTTCTGTTTCAAGGTATCCAAGCACCGGGCTTGCTATACCATGCGTTATTTTATTTTGGGATGCTTGGGTAATTCCCTCACAAGTAATGTTAGCCCCTGTTTCTAATAACCCCGAAAGTTCAACAACGATACTTCCACATAAAATCTGTTATATTTCCCTCGGTTTAATACAGTATATACCAATTGCTTTTTTGTTTTTCGAACATTTCTCCATGGTCGTTTCATACGTTCCCTAGATCTTTTCTCTGCTAAACTATATTTCTTTTTCAAAAATTCTCTCATATTGAAAGGACGTAGCTTTGGCACTATAGTTTCACAACGAATTTCATTTCATTTTGTCTACGTTTGCGTACAGTTTTGCTGTCAGATTAGACTCTGAGCTAGCCGGTAACAAATTAATTAAAATTTTGAGGGGCCACTCGGCTTTGGTTGCCGACTGGGCCCGTCTGGCGCTTTTCCTGCATCCTGGCAACTCATTTTGCTCCGCACCCGTCACAGAATATCTTTCTTTTTTTTTAACACTTATCCCAACCATGAACTTCACAGTCACAGTTCCAACAACGGAAAACTTTAAGTGGAGTTTGAACTGCGTTTACGAATCTGACTTGTGGATCTGCTTCCTTTTCACTACTGTGTCAACCACAACCACATTACGCCGATGCGCCGAAGATAAAGTTAAATTCTTTGTGCCTCTCTTAGAGACAACAACGCCTATTAGGTTCTTACGCATCTGAACCAGTTTTCTCTGGGTGATTAAGTATATGGATACGTAAAGCAATTCATGTCGAATATCGGGTACTTTGGTAACTATCCTCTTAGTTCTATGCACTTACTTCTCGAGAACCTGCAGTTCCAATGCCTATTAGATTGCATGGTAACCTTAAAGCAGATATCTGTCTTGAAATAATTTGTTCTACTTGCTCAAAAATATGTCCATAGTCGACGAGAGCCTGTGATGTAGTGTGATTTGATCTCACATCAGACTGTGCATGACTTGAATGACCTTTCTTGCTTGGTTTTCGACCACTTTTCTTTGGCTAATCGGTATGTGACTGTCTCCTGCAGATGCCTGATAACGGGTTTCACCTTGAGATCCTAAATCTTTTTCCGATGAATTTGTTGTCATACTCCGGGTGATATGCGTGATTGTACCTGTGTTGTTCAATCCTTGCTCGTTTACTTTTGGTGCAATCTTTCTACCAGAACCAAATTTTCTAAAGTCCGTTGCTGAAAACAATCCTTTCTTTTGTTACTTAGACGATCGCAAGGTCCCTAAAAGCTTTTGTTCTTGCCCAGGTTGCTCTGTTTTTAGCAGATCGCGAGCATCAACCAACTTTTGACATGCCTGGCACACATGAATCTCCTCCACGTACTCTGAAAAGGATGCTGGTAAGGAGTAGCTCGAACTCGCTTGTTCCCTTCCCATAGTATTATTTGAAAAATTGAACATAGTTCTGCATGCTCAGAAGTGGCCTAAGTAGAACTACGTATCTCTAAATAATCGTAACTCAACATTATTTTTAAATTGATTCTCAATTTTTTTACATTCTCCTTGCTCTGTTTTTCGGGGTTACCTTGCTTTTCTGCTGCGCTTGCACCCTTTTAAAAACTCATCTATGTAATACTTCAAAATTTCTATACAAACAAATTCTATTCTGATAAATTCTTGCAAACTCAATATACCTGCACTTAAAACTGCGGTCAGAACTTCGTATTCTTCATAGGACCACCAATTTCTAGCGCAGCTTATCTGATCTTAATACATCGTTTTTAAAAACGTGCAGACGAAATCTCGTTCCAGACAAATTCGTGTTCCAGCTGCGTCTTTACGAAACTCCCTTTTCGTTGAAAATATTAGAACCATCGAGACTTCGGGTATACACAAGGTAATAGGAAAATTTTTGCCTGAATATGCTACTACTCAAAGCTTTTAGCAACCTACATAGAAAAAACCTTGAAAGTTTGGTAGACCACATAAAAGCTCCCAAAACCCTCTCACACTACTGATGTGAAAACAAATTAATTACTCCATAATAATAACTCCGTAAATCTTCATTTTCGAAACGTTATAATGTTTTTATATTTGTCACTTAGACATAGGCAACAACTCAACAACGCAACAACTGCTTTTGGGTTGTTTTACCCAATGTAAGTTGATTTAATATGATTAAAACTATTTAATTTAACGATAAAGGTTTGCAATTAACATAATTATAGTAACGCTAAAAATTCTTGCATGGCATTAACACGGAAATTATCTCCTAAACGTTACATATCAGTTTGTATAATTTTATTTTTGTTTGTTGTAAGCAAATCAAAATATTTCTCGTTGTTTTACAAAAATGGTTTTTTAAACTAAAATACTATGGTCAACTGACTTGGAATAGCGCATACGTCGATGATCTTTCGAGTTTATACTTGTTTCGTTTACACCAGTAATCGAAATTCATTGCAAATGAACTAGGGAACCAGGTAATGTTGCTTGACTTCCTCGCCGTTGTCCCAACCGAGCTTTAGCACTGCGCCAGGCCTTAATGTAATCCTAATCTTCGTTGCCGCGTTCTTCTGTCCCAGTCTGCTGCTGATCGTTTCTCTCAATTGATTTCACCCTTGCGCTGCAAGTCTAATTAGTATCACTCGGAATGGCTTGCTCGGGTGTAAAAATCAAATGGGCAGAAACGGTCGTGCATCGCATTTTTGTATTCCGAAGAATGAAAGAAAGAAGAAGCTTAACATAAACCTTGCATTGCATTTTCCCTCCTAGGACTGATCTGGAATACTGGTTCTTCGCAAAGCGTTGCCAGCTCATGAAATGCTATATCTTAGCTTACCTGCTACAAAACTCGAGTAGATGTGAAATTTTAATAATAATTATCCGTTGCTTTTCAACAGTTCAACGTCGGTTTCTCCCAGATTAAAATCATCATTCATCATCATTCATAACTCGACAAGAGGTGATTTTATTTGATATATGTATATCTGCTACATTGCGGTGATGCGCAATGTATTGGAAGAGTTAACGCTGATTACCTCATTCCTCACAGTCTATCCGTTGAAAACGGTTAGAATTTTCAACAAATGTAAAACTCATGAAAACATGTTCAGATCGGAAGGTGGAAGGTGGCTGTGCTCTGTGGAAATCGGAGCTTAACTTTTTTCAAAAATCCTAATGGTTTTTCAAGGATGAACTGTGTTGCACAGCAAACATATCAGCTAGCATCGCATAAACTAGTCCGTCAAATTTTAATTGCGGACAGTTAGTCTGCAAACCTTATGTACCATACCTTCAACGAATTGTAGAAGGTAGATGGACCTCTGTGGAAATAGGCTTTAAAGCTCTTGCCGATACGAAAGGATCTAACCAAATGCCCTTATAAAAAGCGGTATTGCTGCTAGATTAATAAGACTACGGCTTTCCGAACTTATTTTTATTTATGTAATGTTCTACTTTTATTAAATTAAACCATTTTTTTTCTTTCAGTATCGTTACAAATATAGCACCAGTGTATTGGAGACCTATATTCAAGGAAATAAAGTTCCCTTTAGCTTTTTACTAATGTTAGTTGTCCAGTTTATAACAATTGTTACAGAACGCGCAATATATCTTAGAAAAGCACTTGTATATAAAATATTTTTTCATATCATCACTGTTGTCGGAATACATATTTGGATGTTCTTTTTAGTGCCGTATGTGACGGCGAACAGTTTTGGAGAATCGGCTCCGGTTTTTTTCTATTTAATAAAATGCCTTCATATGCTATTATCTGCATACCAAATAAGATGTGGTTACCCAAAACGGATTCTGGGAAATGTATTTACAAAAGGACATTCATTGATAAATTATATAGCATTTAAAATGTAAGTTTCTTGTTTTTTGATTATACAGAATACCTATTTTTTGTCCTTCTTAGTTATATGGAAATTCCGTTTTTATATATTCTTCGAACCATGTTAGACTGGGTATGCATAGACACAACACTAACAGTAATGGAATGGATAAAAATGGAAGATATATTTCAGTCGGTTTTTATTGTTCGTTGCTATAGACAAATGGATACTGATTTCCCAGTTCTACGCGGAGAACCCAAAGCTTTGTATGCCAAACTTTTGATTGGTGGTACAATAATATTAGTTCTCATAGCGCTAATTTGGAGTCCGTTGTTTCTATTTGCTCTTGTCGGAACGGTGGGTAAACCCAATATACCACGCAAGGCTGACATCACAGTGAAAATTAGTCATTACGAACCCATATTCTTATCCCAAAGCTATGCTGGCATATACCAATTTTCAGATGCAGACCTTCAAGACTTAACTAGCCGTATTATTTTGGATAATTTTGCATCGGATCATATGATGGTGTACGACGCTGTTGACATTACCGCTGTTAAATTCTATGCAAACTCCATAACTCTGTGGAATATGTCGCCACCTGATAAACTACGTTTATTAGATGATTTGAAAAATGGTAAGTTTAGATTTATTAATAATTAATTTATTACACACACAAAAAGAAATCCGAAAAAAAAATTTATCCGCCATATTGGATGGTGCTCGAAGACGCTTACCCTTTTGGCTAAACATTTTTGAACGTTTTTATGAGCGGAAGAGTTGTGTTTTATGAATGGCGTTCGATTTATGTAAACAATCGAATTGAGAGCAACACAAGGTTATCGAATTTTTATAAACGAAAGAGTAAGTGCTTACGATTTTGTTCGATTTTTGTGAATGAACGTTTACAAATTGAGATCAAAAACAGGCGAGCGGACTGATCGTAAGTCAAGAAAAATGTTCTTGATTTTTTCCTTTTTTTTTTGGCTGCATTTATATCATTTAACATTATTACAATCATACCCATTAAATGTATATTTCTTAGGTATGTCAATGGAAATTCGTTTTACTCTTGCACTGAAGTGTAATCTGACACCAGAAGTTATTATTTATGAAACGGCTTATACTCTTGCAAAAAACAAAGTTAATACTAGGGAAAAGCTAATAAGAATTATGTCTGCAAAAATAAGCAATGAACAAGTGGTTATACCAAACATTTTGCCAAAATTTGTTACTGTTCAAAAGCAACAAGCGAATGCTCAATTTATAAAAGACTACGATGGTACGTATTTAAATTGACCATTCTATATTTATAAAGATGACATGCAGAAAGCTACGGTATTTATTCTTTAAAGGTTTAACTATATTTGTTTACACAAAACACAAGTATATGCAAAACATTAAGCTGTATTCTTTAAAGGTTTAACTATATTTGTTTACACAAAACACAAGTATATGGAAAACATTAAGATGTATAGTTTTTTTTTTTTGCAATGCTCACCTACAGGTCGTTCCCAAATAATCAACATTGAATGGATCCGTCGTGTTCAGGAACTACGATTTCGATCCCTCCGATATATGTATGCGGATTATCAGGTTGACTGTCTTAAATTCTTTAACGTTGTGTGGTGAAGCCTCTTTGTGCTCTTTACCGTCGCTTTTCAAAACCTAGAGGGTGAGCAAATTACAGTTTGGGAATGTGGCAAAACTATGTCTTGGAGCGAACGAGTATCTGGCATTCACAACACTTAATAAGAGTTTGAGGCCTTGCATTACAAGTACATAAGGGTAGAAGAACTACTACAGCACGGTCTTCAAAAGCATTTCAGCTCCAGCTTCTGTCCACCTTCATTTCTTCGACCAATATTGGTTTTTTTTTTTATTGAGGTCAATCCTTCAAGCTTCGTAAGCGCATATCGAACATTGATAAAGTTAATAACCTCCAGAGTTCCTTTACGGCTTCTTCTCAGGAAGATTAAGGTGCTTCCCAGTTACTGGAGATAAATATCTACTGACACTGGATAAATTTAAGTTTTTAAATATTTTACGTTCGACAAAATTAGGACGAAAGCGTTCAAAAAACATTGACATTGACTTGGCATAGAGGAAGTCCTTGCATTTGCTTTAATTTTCCTCTATTGTCTTGTGAGGAGTTAAATAATTCCGCACAAATTAAAGCAAGCAGTGCAATCAATCACGCAAGTAGTGGCCTACCGGTTGCCAGATACGCAGCGAATTCTCCCGTAGTTACGGTAGTGCGGAGAGAGAGTGTGGTGCCGTGGTGCAGAGAGGGACAGGAAGGGTTCAAAAGACGGCAACCGGAGAGAGAGCGTCGGAGTGCCGGGTGCAAAACGAAATAACGGGTAATCACCTGATGAGCCAAATCAAAGGAGTAAGTCACATTGCAATTCACAACATTTTAATGAAGCACGACCGCCCAATTAAACAGAGGTATTACCCTCGGAACCCAGCAGTGCAATCAATAATAAACAAACAAGTCGACGAATTTATATCACAGAACCTCATAGAACCCTCGCACTCCGCCTACAGTTCGCCAGTGGTAATCGTGGAGAAGAAAAACAAGGAATGGAGGCTTTGCAAAGACTATAGGCAACTGAACGACAAATCTAAGCGAGACGCATACCCAGTACCCGGAATGGATCACATTCTCAACCAACTCCGTGCAATACATTAGCACACTGGATCTGAAAAGTGGCTACTGGCAGATACCGATGGACGAAGACAGTAAACAGTACACTGCCTTTATTGTATCAGGACGCGGACTGTTTCAGTGGAAAGTAATGCCCTTCGGATTACACACAGCACCGGCGACTTTCCAAAGCGCTCTAGATTGAGTTATCGGACCAGAGATGGAACCATTCTCATTCGCATATCTGGATGACATAGTGGTATCGGACGAACGAAACGGGTACACCGGGAGAAACTGCAAGAAGTAATGGGACGACTTCGCAAAGCAACCCTAAGAATCAACACGGAGAAATGTTACTTCTTCAAAGAAGAGCTAAGATATCTAGGCCTCATAGTCAGCGCAAGAGGCACACACACCGATCCAGAAAAGACAGCAGCGATCCTCAACATGCCAAGCCCACAGACAACAAAGCAGGTTCATGGTACAGAAGGTTCGTTCCTAACTTCATGGAACTGGTGCAACCGCTGTTAAACCTAGTAAGAAGGGTAAGAAGTTTGAAAGGGACGAGAATACAGAAAAGGCAACTAAAAACTTGAAAAAATCTCTAACACATGATTGCCTTGACTTTGAAAAAACCCCTGTACTCCAGACGGACGCAAATAACTGCCGATTAGGAGCGGTTCTAACGGAAGATGTTGAAAACGGCGAACACGTTATCTCATACGGCAGTCAAAAGACGGAGCAAAAATACTCAGCTACCGAAAGGGAGTGCCTGGCAATCTACTGGTGTGTCCAAAAAATGCGGATGTACTTGGAGGGATACCACTTTGTCGTCATAACTAAAACTAAGTTCTAAGGAAAAACCATAGCAAAGCAACAGCAGGCTATTTAGGGATACAAAAGTAGCCACGGCAAAAACATGCTACTGTTTGTATTCGACAAGTTCTCGAAATGGGAAAGCAACAACGGAAATCGTGATAAAAAAACTACTAGTGCAAGGCCTAACACAGTATGAAACACCGAAAAAGTTTATCTCGAACAACGAAGTACAGTTCACGTGCAACAATTTTAAGGCACAGCTCTAGATATAAAGAATTGCTCACAAGCTGACAGCTCCATACATTCCGAAGGAGATCCCGGCAGGAAGGGCAAGCAGGACAATCAAAGGCCTTCTTCAGAGTGTGACGGTCCACCGTCACAACACATAAAACACCACAACATAGAACCAAACAGAAATAAAACCAAACGACCTGGTGAGGATCACCAACGCCCAGTGTGGCTTACGAAACTGCACAAAGTCCGGTTATGATCATTGAGTCCAGCTCAGTGAGTTTCGCCATTTCTTACGTCTCCGGTAGCATTTAAGGCCTTTCTTCTCAAGTCTTTTCAACCAGTTTCCGTGTTACAGAGGTAATCTAAATAGAGGCTTATATTCACCCTTAACCATACGATAGCTATGACTTACATGCCACAAGCTGATAGATGTGTCAATACCTATTGAAAAAATTTATATAGTTAATTTAATATTTACAGGATAGATACGTCAATACCTATTTACAAAATTAATAAAGATAATTTTATATTTACAGGACAATTTACCCGTCCAATTATATTGAAAAAGAAAGAAGCTGATAATAAGGAATGGTGGGAAATGTATGATTATTGCGACGATAGCTTTTATTTGGATATTTTGTCTGCATTACCACTCAGTAACTGCGATAATGGAGTCGTCCTTTACATATTTAATGATAAATCTTTTCCCTCGGCCATGAGTTTTTTAGAAAAAACGGGGTATGTACTTGTGCCATAAATATTATCAAACAAATCTTAATAAGATTTTAACTAAATTAAGGATTATTGGACTTTATACAACATTTGTGTACGTGGTGTCCAGGGTAATTCGATCACTTATAGCAAACAATCATAGGCGGATAATGTTTGAAGATTTACCATTCGTCGATCGAGTATTAAAGTTATGCAATGATATATATTTAGTTCGTGAAACACAGGAATATCGTCTTGAAGAGGACTTATATGGAAAGCTTATATTTCTGTATCGATCACCTGAAACACTTATAAAATGGACTCGATTTAAGGAAGATATTTCAGAGGACGCGTCGAGTTCACAGCTAAGTCAATCTGGAATAAATGACAACCAAAAAAATTAGTTTGGAACAAAATGTTTTGTGTTATCTTAATAATTGAAATTATATCATTTGTTTTTTTTTGGGTCTTAATAACGTTTTGGAACCTTATATAGTACAAACTACATGTGTTAAATTATATAAAAAAAAAAATTGAGTTTTCATTCGTAGTTTGCTAATTAATTACTTATGACCAATTTGTCAAGGATTATTTTCAAACGCATTTTTTTCTATCTGTATACCTTCCTTCGAATATTCTATATTGAAGTGAAATAAAAATTAAGTAAGAAGTTATAAATGCGATAAACCATTGGCTGGGTTATAGTTCCTGGCTCCTTACCTCCATATATCCAAAAAATATAGAATATAGTAGAAGGAAAAATAAAAAGCACATTTTTTAGTGGAGTTATTTTTTCCAAGTAAGGCTGATAGTGCTGTGGGACTAATCAAAAATGCGAAATGTTTTAAAAAAATGTATATGGCCAATTCCAGGGCATCGGACGTGACATTCTGACAAAATAAACATTCAAAACTAGTGTCAAAAAGTGGGCATTTTCTGTTTTAAATATTGTTAATGACATCTCCGAGACATCTCTACCAATGGTCAAAAATTTAGCTTATATATCCAATTAGTTCTTTTATTAAAAAAATAAACATGCATTTCAGACCAGACAGCATTTTACAAAACATGATAAATACACAAGAGTTTTCGAATCTTTTTTTTCAGTATACCTAGAGGTATAAAAAAATTTTTCAGAAGATTTTTTTAAAATTAATATAGATTTCAGACGCGATATATTGCTCCCAAGCAATTTTTTGTTTTTTGTTATGTAAAATTCATACGATAAATATGGTCGAAATAATTTCAACAATTAGGAACACTCAGAATATTTCTGATTTTTTTTACGGCAGCCATATGAGTTAATGGTTGAAAGTTGGTAAAAATCCTAAAATAAATGCATATTTATATTCAAGTATACAGCTCAAATTTTGTACACCTTTCTACAATAAATAAGTAATTTTTTGTACTATGTTTGCTATATAGAGTTAGAAGGCCGAAAAAAGTGATTGGTGGAGTGGACCGTTGTCGTCGTGGATAATGGCCAGTTGCCCAGAAACCAGGAAAAATCTACTTTTTGAGGGTTTGCAAGGTGTGCAGGTAGTCACGCCACAAGAGCTCAAAGAATTTTTCCTTAATGTGGGTGATACGTTGCCAGACTGTCAGGTTCGATATTTTGTATTCCTCCAAGCTGGGCTCTTGCACGTTCCGACCAAAAAATTCAATGGAGTGAGGGCCTCTCCATCGTTGGGATGTTTTGCTATAATTGCAACAGTTTGGATAACCTCGTACGTGATTGTTTTATTTTTTTTTAGATGTTGATGCACTTTGATCAGTAAAGCTTGTTACGCGCGGACACACTAAACAAAATATATACAAAACTATAAATCCAATTAATAATACTAATTAAGTGTTATGTAAGCTAAGATTAATGCTTTTAAAGAGTGCTTTAATGCTTGGTAAAGAGTCAGTAGTTGAAATCATATGATAGAGTTTATGATAGTCATTACATAGCACTCTAAATGGTTCATACATATCATGGTTAGATCTACAATATTTCAAAAGAAATTTAGGCGGCCCTGAAGCTCGATACTCATCACCATCGAGAAAATATTAAAAAGTTTTTTTCGCACAGACTTTTTTCGGTTTATATTCTCACCAAATTAGGGACTCCAAATAATAAAATAAATAAAGCCCTTGTGACATACAGATAACCGAATTCCTTTAACCGTTTTAAAAATCCATGCACTTTCCTGGCTTTATTCATCATGGACGAAATAGGTCATACAATTTTTATTATGGGTCCACAACAACGACAAGGTCATCAATTTGTAGAATTCTGGTCAACTCACAACCACCCAAAGATAAATTGAGTGTCATTATGTCGTTTTAAAAGGCAACTACAATCACTTCAACCTCCCAAACGGAAATGGGGAGTGCGACGGCCCACCGTCACAACACATAAAACACCACAACTTAAAACCAAACAGAAATAAAACCAAACAACCTGGTGAGGATCACCAACGCTCAGTGTGGCTTGCAAAACTGCAGCCAGTCCGGTTATGATCATTGAGCCCAGCTCAGTGAGTTTCGCCTTTTCTTACGTTTCCGGAAGCACCTAAGGCCTTTCTTCTCAAGTCATTTCAACCAGTTTCCGTGTTACCGAGGTAATCTAAATAGAGGCTTATATTCACCTTAAACCATACGATAGTTATGACTTACTTGCCACAAGCTGATAGATGTGACAATACCTATTTTAAAAATTAATAAAGTTAATTTTATATTTACAGGATAGATGTGTCAATACCTATTTCCAAAATTAATAAAGTTAATTTTATATTTACAGGAAAATGATATAAAAAAAGAAAGAAACTGATTGTTTATGGGGAAAACAACCAAAATGCCACCCTTTAGTTTAGAAATAGAAATTAAACGCACGATAGGTTCAATTGAAATTATTTCTTGATTTTATTAGCTGTGCTCGGAGTTGCAGCGATTTTGTTTAACTGACTTGCAGAAAGCTTGACTTCAAATTTTTGTACATGTTTTCGCTGTAGCTCAGCTGAATAGATATCGCGACAAATACAGCAAGATAAGAAAGACGAAGAACAATTAACATGCAAAGCTGTATAACAGCCCTGCATGTGCATCGCACACCTATGAGCACTTTACCAGATGCCCTGCTCCATCTTTTCCAGAAGTGCTGCTGCATTTGTGTTATTCTTTGCCAACTGCTTAACCGGCCTTCATTAAGATGAGTAACGTCAGGCTCAGGAAACCTTGTGTAGTTGGAACCTTTCAGGAAATGCGCTGGCGTTAGCACCTCAAAATTTTCAGCGTTTTCTGAAATTGTGCAAAGCGGACGGGAGTTAAGAATGGCAGAAATTTCATATGTTCTTAATTCTTAATTCATCAAGGGCTAAGATGGCTGCACCGACAACTCGGTAGAAGTGAAATTTTGCCGATTTTACAGCCGCCTCCCATAGACCACCGAAATGTGGGGCACGCGAGGGTATGAACTTCCAATCAATCCCATTCGCTAAGCAGGAAGAAGTTATTGAAGCCGTCTGCGGTTCGCTCAAAAATAACTCCTTCAGTTCCGCTAGCTCTCGTTTAGCGCCAACAAAGTTTGTCGCATTATCACTCCAAATAGTACGTGGACCGCCTCTGAGGCTAATGAATCTTCTCAAAGCTGCCATGAAAGAATCCGTTGTGAGATCCTGGACGACTTCCAAGTGCGCAGCCTTCGTCGAAAAGCAGAAAAAGACGGCGATGTAGCACTTGTGGGGTGCTTTGTTCCGGGCCTCTGACTTGTGATAGAACGGGTTAGGCAGAACTCGACCTGCTGGCAGGCTACCCATCACGTGTTCCCAAGCCACAGGCTTCATCCGAAAGCATCTGACGCATTTGTTGATGACGCTAGCCACGAACTTTCGGCCTCCAAGTGGCCAATACCTTTGCCGTAAAGCAGCGAGCAACGCCTGTGGTCCTGCGTGGAAGTATTTCTCATGACAATAGACGATAATCGCCCTGGTGACCGGATGATCCTTAGGTAACAATATCGGATGCTTAGCCTCGTAGTCCAAGCTCGCATTGAAGCCTTGGCTAAGAACCTCATACTCCACCGATATGTGCACCTGTTGAATGCTCCTTAGAAGCAGAACGGTTTCGAAGCTGATCTCGTCAACGGTAAGATAGATGGTTGAAGGTAATGATTTGGCTCTGCAATTTAAAATGAATCGATAAATGTATGCGAAAACACGCTAAAACAACGGTTCCAATTAGCGCCGTGGAACGCCGTTCCGGAAGGTTCTTTACTGCATCTAATAGGGAGGGCTAGTTCGACGCTCCTTATAGTAGAAATGGAGTTCCATTTGCCCAAAGGGAGTGCTCCAGCAATTCTTTGGGAGTACATCCACGCTATACCACATCCTCCGGATTCAATTCTGTTGGAGGTTGCCGAATCCAAGCCAACACCATAGACGAGTCCGACCAGCAGTGAAAGGTGCAATCAAAACCTATGGTTTCCTTAACGTTTACGATAAGCTCAGCCAATAAGCACGCTGCTGAAAGTTCTAATCTTGGTATTGTTAAAGCTTTTAAGGGAGCTACTCTAGACTTGGCTCAGAGTAGATGTGCTTCAGCATTGTCATTGGCCTCCGACCGCAAATACAAGCACGCGCCGTAAGCTGCTGTGCTAGCATCACAGAATCCGTGCATCTCGACGAAAGCCTGCGTTTGCATTACGAATCCTGCAAATTTTAGGTTCTGGACGATCGACAACTGAGAGGTCAACCCCCCCCATGACGAAAGAAGGGGCTCTGGCAGTGTGTCGTCCCAATCCATGTTAGTGCTCCAAAGCTTAAGCAAATAAATTTTGAATTTTGTAACAATGGATGCTATTAAACCAAGCGGATCATAAAATTTCGCAATTGTTGACAACACAATCCGTTTTGTTGCTCGTTGACTTGATAAAATTTGTGAAAAGTTAAAGAGAAAAAGCTTTGGTGATAGCTGATCCGTCGTGGAATTTAATCAATTGCTCTTTATCGCGATCAGACTCTCCTTCGAGAGCGCTTGCTTCATTCGAACACCATTTTCGGATCGGAAAACTCGACTTGGTTCCATAAGTTACCGTGTTTAGTTTATAAAGCTCTCTATTTATCTGTGGAGTGCTCTCTCCAAATGATACATTGCAAAAAGTCATCAGAGTACGAAACACTAACGCAGCGGTGCATCTTGCAGATGTCTCCACAAAGAGCAACTTAAAATAATCTAAACCGAAGCAAAATATTAAAGATTTTTTGCTGAATTTTTGGTCCTGCTAGAAGCAAGTCGTTTAGAGCTTTCCCAGATGTATTTTTAGCAGAACCATCAAAGACGACACGAAGTTTAGTGGTAGTGCTTTCAAGTACTGAACAGCATGGTGAGGCAAGAAAAATTGTGGCACCGCTGGATCCCTTAATGCGAGAAACATGTGGCCTGTGTATTCCTGTTAAAATGCCGAATACTGCGCTTTGGATAAAAGATGCAATTTTCTTTGAAATGCTGCTCGCATCGTAAGTCCTCGGCCAGCATTGATGGATTTTCTGAACTAATGTCTTCAATCTCCCAAAACCGCTTTACTACGGCTGCAAGTGTGTCATCATCTGAATGATCAGCAGGATCCTTGACAATGGCAGCCAAGACAGATTTACGATTTAGCATACTTGACATCCCTCCAGAAACTATCCAACCAAGCTTGGTGTTTTGAAACGTGCTATCCAATTAATTTTCCCTTTAGCGATTATTTCGAAGAACAGACCATCGCCAATTAAAAGATCAATTCGTTGTGACTGCTTGAAATGAGGGTCAGCTAGCGAAATGTTTTGTGGCATCCTCCATCCCGTAGTATTTATATTGAAATTTGACTGGTAATCACTGATACCATGGGTTACAACAGCTGTGAATGACGCACGATAGCTTGCATCCCGTGATTGCGCCAGAATATCGAATGCCTTATCAGAGTTCATGGAAGATTCCTCTATCCCAGAAATTAGTGTGTGCGATTGTCTAAGTATCCAATTAAGTTGGCTAGCTAAGCGCGTATTAATAAAGTTTAACTGAGAAGCTGAATCTAATATTGCTCGGCAAGGCATAAATGCACCAACTCTATTTTTTACGTAGATTATAGCAGTTGGAAGCAGCACGTAATTCATTGGCATTGTATTTAAGGTTTGTGGTGGAGAGTGCGTTAAATGGTGATTAGGTTATGATAATGGAGATGATCATGACACTAGTGATGATGAAGTAATGGCTGAGAACTTATAGATGGGTCGGATGATGGAGATGAAACTGATGTCGATGGTATAGATGCCTCTGGGATAATGTGCAGTAATGAAAGGTGCTTCATGCGACAATGTTTAAAATGAGTTGACTTACATTGGTGCAAGCTATGGCCTTTGCGTAAACAGTTGAGGCAAAGGTGCATTTTCTTTGCTTCCCTATGTCGAAGATTGGGACTCAAGCTTAAAAATCGTGAGCATTTTGGCAAATAATGATCTCTAGCATCGCAGAATAGGCAAATTGGATGGTTTGAGTTAGTAGCTGACGTACTCAGTACACTTGGGTTATGGTGTGGTGTTTGAATTACCACAGCTGGTCCAAGTTTTCCATCATCCGGCACCTCTTCTCCAAAAACGACTCCATAGCATCCCAGGTAGATAGCTCAGAGATTGACAAATCATCTTCCCATTTTTCGCGGGTCCTTTGATCCAGCTTGTGTGTCATGATATGAATGAGAAATCCATCCAGAATTTGTTGTGCAGTGGCCAGGATACGAATTGCTCGAAGATGCGAATTCATCCAAGCGCTGAGCTCCCGAAGACCATTAGCTGGTCCCTTCTCGACACCTTTTAATTCAAATATTGCCTGAACGTGTGCCTGAAAGTGTAAAACTTTATTTTCAAATCGATTAATAAGTAAATTTAAAGACTTTTTAAATTTTTATTTGAGGGCTCGAGCGATCGTATGGTTTCCAAAGCCACGCCGGCTAAAGAGGACCTCAAATATTGTAATTTTTCAAGATCACTTAGCTCGTCATCATATTCAATGACCGTGGTAAAAGTTGCATTAAAGTCCGGCCATTCTGAGTACGATCCTTGAAAACAAGCAATCTCTAGATTTGGCAATCGAGAAAGATCCGCATTGTTTATAATATCAAGGGATGTAGAATTGGCCGCTGTGGAACCCGGCAAATGTAGTTTGCGCAGAGCTGCTAGGGCCCGATTTAGTTTCGCCTTTAAATCCATTAAGATTGCGGAAAATTCAAACCGCGTATCTTTACTAATCTCCGAAAAGTCCAGTTTTTCCAGCGAAGTCTGTGCAGAACCGAATTCCAAGTTCATAGAGATCACCCACTGGGAGCATCATTTTGAGGCTGAATCGCGTCTCCTGGGCTAACCATTTTATAATTGTCTAACCGGATTCAGAGGGCAGGAAACACCCTATGCTTATTGCCGCGCAAATGTTAATGCACCGAGCGTCGCCAACAACGTAACGGAAGCTTTGACTTTGTTTTTGTTCTTTTTACCGAATTATTGCCTAGAAACAGCGCATTGACTTGGCAAAGTAATGTTTGTGACCATACACATACACGGTTATTTACACATATATGATGATACGCGGTTAAACAATTATTTTTTTTTTGTTTTTTTGCAGCACAACAATTAACGTTTATGTTTAATGTTTACAAAACAGTTTTGCTTCTTTACAGCGCAAAAATGTTAAAAAAAAAAAAAAAACAAACGGCCGGCCGGCCAGCAAACGACAGCGAAAATAAGTTATTGCTAAAACGATATTAAACAATGTTAAAAGCTGATTTGCAGACTCCGAATTAACCTAATATCACGTCGGGGTAACCAAAATGCTTATGGGGACAACAACCAAAATGCCACCCTTTAGTTTAAAAATAGAAATTAAACGCACGATAGGTTCAACTGAAATTATTTCTTGATTTTATTAGCTGTGCTGTTGCAGCGATTTTGTATAACTGACTTGCAGAAAGCATGTTTTCCCTGTAGCTCAGCTGAAAAGATAACGAGCCAAATGAAGCGAGATAAGAAATACGAAGAACAATAAACATGCAAAGCTGTATAACAGCCCTGCATGTGCAGCGCACACCTATGAGCATTTTACTCATTTTTTTGTCTGCATTACCACTCAGTACATATTTAATGATAAATCTTTTCCCTCGGCCATGAGTTTTTTAGAAAAAACGGTGTCCAGGGTAATTCCAGGTGTCCAGGGTAATTCGATCACTTATAGCAAACAATCATAGGCGGATAATGTTTGAAGATTTACCATTCGTCGATCGAGTATTAAAGTTATGCAATGATATATATTTAGTTCGTGCAACACAGGAATATCGTCTTGAAGAGGACTTATATGGAAGGCTTATATTTCTGTATCTATCATCTGAAACACTTATAAAATGGACTCGATTTAAGGAAGATATTTCAGAGGACGCGTCGAGTTCACAGCTAAGTCAATCTGGAATAAATGACAACCAAAAAAATTAAGACTAGCGAAAAAATTAGTTTGGAACAAAATGTTTTGTGTTATCTTAATAATGCAAATTATATCATTTGTTTTTTTTTTTGGGTCTTAATAACGTTTTGGAACCTTATATAGTACAAACTACATGTGTTAAATTATATAAACAAAAAAAATTGAGTTTTCATTCGAAGTTTGCTTTTTAATAACTTATGACCATTTTGTCAATCAATATTTTTAAACGCTTTTTTTCTACCTATATACCTTATTCGAATTCCATATAAATTATATTTAAATTGGTTTATTGAAGTGAAACAAAAACTAAGTAAGAAGTTATAAATGCGATAAACCATTGGCTGGGTTATAGTTCCAGGCTCCTTACCTCCACATATTCGAAAAATATAGAATATAGTAGAAGAAAAATAAAGAGCACTTTTTTTTAAAGAGGTTTTTTTTGCAAGTAAGGCTGATAGTGCGGTGGGACTAATCAAACAAAGACACAATTGATTGCGAAATGATTTAAAAAAATGTATATGGCCAATCCAGGGCATCGGACGTGACATTCTGACAAAATAAACATTCAAAACTAGTGTCAAAAAGTGGGGTTTTTCTGTTTTAATTTTTGTTAATGACGTCTCCGAGTCATCTCTACCAATGTTCAAAAACTTAGGTTAATATATCTAGAAAGTTCTTTGATTAAAAAAATATGCATGCATTTCAGACCAGACCAAAAGGAAACAGCATTTTACAACACATGATAAATACACAAAAGTTTTCGAATCTTTTTTTTTCAGTATACCTGGAGGGTGGTATCATTCATCAAAACAAAATTTTCAGAAGATTTTTTCAAAATTAATATAGATTTCAAACGCGATATATTGCTCCCAAAGAAAAAATTTAAAATTCTATATTTCCTAAAATGTTTTGTTTTTTGTTATGTAAAATTCATCCGATAAATATTGTCGAAATAATTTCAACAAATAGGAACACTCAGAATATTTCTGATCTTTTTTACGGCAGCCATATAAGTTCATGGTTGGAACTTGGTAAAAATCATAAAATAAATGCATATTTATATTCAAGTATACAGCTCAAATTTTGTACACCTTTCTACAATAAATAAGTAATTTTTTGTACTATGTTTGCTATATAGAGTTAGAAGGCCGAAAAAAGTGGTTGGTGGAGTGGACCGTTGTCGTCGTGGATAATGACCAGTTGCCCAAAAACCAGGAAAAATCTACTTTTTGAGGGTTTGCAAGGTGTGCAGGTAGTCACGCCACAAGAGCTCAAAGAATTTTTCCTTAATGTGGGTGATACGTTGCCAGACTGTCAAGTTCGATATTTTGTATTCCTCCAAGCTGGGCTCTTGTACGTTCCGACCAAAAAATTCAATGGAGTGAGGGCCTCTCCATCGTTGGGATGTTCTGCTATAATTGCGACAGTTTGGATAACCTCGTACGTGATTGTTTTATTTTTTTTTTAGATGTTGATGCACTATGATCAGTAAAGCTTGTTACGCGCGGACAGACTAAACAAAATATATACAAAACTATAAATCCAATTCATAATACTAATTAAGTGTTATGTAAACTAAGATTAAAGCTTTTAAAAACTGGTAAAGAGTCAGAAGTAGAAATCATATGATAGAGTTTATGATAGTCATTACATAGCACTCTGAATGTAATACATATCATGGTTTGATCTTCAATGTTTCAAAATTAGAGGAATACAGTTTCTAATGATTAGGCACTGAGAAATTTAGGCGGCCCTGTAGCTCGATACTCATCACCATCGAGAAAATATTAAAAAGTCCAGAAAAACGACAAGGTCATCAATTTGTATAATTCTGGTCAACTCACAACCACTTAAAGTATAAATTGAGTGTCATTATTTCGCTTGAAAAAGAAATTACAAAAACTTCAACCTCCCAAACGGGGTGGGGGGAGTGTGACGGCCCACCGTCACAACACATAAAACACCACAACATAGAACCAAACAAAAATAAAACCAAACAACATGGTGAGGATCACCAACGCCCAGTGTGGCTTACGAAATTGCACCCAGTCCGGTTATGATCATTGAGCCCAGCTCAGTGAATTTCGCCTTTTCTTAGCTCACTCAGTTTCCGTGTTACCGAGGTAATCTAAATAGAGGCTTATATTCACCTTAAACCTTAAGATTAAAGCTTTTAAAAACTGGTATTCGTCGATCGAGTATTAAAGTTATGCAATGATATATATTTAGTTCGTGAAACACAGGAATATCGTCTTGAAGAGGACTTATATGGAAAGCTTATATTTCTGTATCGATCACCTGAAACACTTATAAAATGGACTCAATTTAAGGAAGATATTTCAGAGGACGCGTCGAGTTCACAGCTAAGTCAATCTGGAATAAATGACAAGCAAAAAAATTAAGACTAGCAAAAAAATTAGTTTGGAACAAAATGTTTTGTGTTATCTTAATAATAAAAACTTTATCAATTGTTTTTATTGGGTCGTAATAACATTTTGGAACCTTATATAGGAAATACTACATGTGTTAAATTATATAAACAAAAAAAATTGAGTTTTCATTAGTAGTTTGCTTTTTAATAACTTCTGACCAATTTGTCAAGCAATATTTTTAAACACTTTTTTTACCTATATACCTTTATTCGAATATTCCATTTGAATTTTATTTAAATTGGTTTATTGAAGTGAAACAAAAACTAAGTAAGAAGTTATAAATGCGATAAACCATTGGCTGGGTTATAGTTCATGGCGCCTTACCAACATATATTCGAAAAATATAGGATATAGTAGAAGGAAAAATAAAGAGCAATTTTTTAAGAGGAGTTATTTTTTGCAAGTAAGGCTGATAGTGCTGTGGGACTAATCAAACAAAGACACAATAGATTGCGAAATGATTTAAAAATATGTATATGGCCAATTCCAGGGCATCGTACGTGACATTCTGACAAAATAAACATTCAAAACTAGTATCAAAAAGTGGGATTTTTCTGTTTTAATTTTTGTTAATGACGTCTCCGAGTCATCTCTACCAATGTTCAAAAACTTAGCTCAATATACCCAGTAAGTTCTTTGATTACAAAAATATACATGCATTTCTGACCAGACCAAAATGAAACAGCATTTTACAACACATGATAAGAACTCAAAAGTCTTCGAAATCTTTTTTTTTTCAGTATACCTAGAGGGTGTTATCATTTATCAAAACAAAATTTTCAGAAGATTTTTTTAAAATTAATATAGATTTCAGACGGGATATATTGCTCCCAAACATAAAATTGAAAATTTTATATTTCCTTAAATGTTTTGTTTTCATTCATCCGATAAATATTGTCGAAATAATTTCAACAATTAGGAACACTCAGAATATTTCTGATCTCTTTTACGGCAGCCATATAAGTTCATGGTTGGAACTTGGTAAAAGTCATAAAGTAAATGCATATTTGTATTCAAGAATACTAGCTCAAATTTTGTACACCTTTCTACAATAAATAAGTAATTTTTTGTACTATGTTTGCTATATAGAGTTAGAAGGCCGAAAAAAGTGATTGGTGGAGTGGACCGTTGTCGTCGTGGATAATGACCAGTTGCCCAGAAACCAGGAAAAATATACTTTTTGAGGGTTTGCAAAACTTAGCCAAACTTTTAGCTTCGATATTTTGTATTCCTATAAGCAGGGCTCTTGCACGTTCCAACCAAAAAATTCAATGGAGTGAGGGCATCTTCATCGTTGGGATGTTCTGAAAGTGGCGCTATAATTGCGACAGTTTGGATAACCTCGTGCGTGATTGTTTTATATTTTTTTTTTGATGTTGATGCACTATGATCAGTAAAGCTTGTTACGCGCGGACAGACTAAGCAAAATAATACTAATTAAGTGTTATGTAAGCTAGGATTAATGCTTTTAATAATGGTAAATAGTCAGTAGTAGATATCATTTGATAGAGTTTATGATAGTCATTACATAGCACTATAAATGGTTCATACATATCATGTTTTGATCTACAATTTTTCAAAATGAGAGAAATACAGTTTCTAATGATTAGGCACTGAGAAATTTAGGCGGCCCAATAGAAGGAGGCGGCCAGGATAGAAGGAGGCTCCTCGCAAGCATGGGCGGAGGCCAAGGCCGTAATTAGCGACATGCGAGGGGTCAACTCAACGTATCACCAGTGCGCTGACAGGATAGCTTGCACCTTTAGAACAATCTCTGAGGACGCTGTTCTTGTTATCGCTGGTCAAGTCCTGCTGGGCGAACTGGTACGAGAAGCCAAGGATGTTCGGATCACCTTGGGTGACATCCATGCAGAGCCGAGAGCCAAGGTAGATTCTAGGGCCCGTGCCAGACAGCAAAGCGTCAGCAACTGCCAGGAAGCATAGGATACCTCTTTCAAAGGACGCTGAACCCACAAACTCATCCCTTGCATCGAGTCCTGGGTAAACCGAAAGCATGGTTAGGTAGATTTATACTTACACAGGCACTATGTGGTCACGTCTGTTTTCGGAGCTACCTTAAGCACTACGGACATGATACGGAGAATGGTTACCCGGAGTGCGGCAGCGGGACTGTGGAAGACGCTCAGCATACCCTGTTTGAGTGTCACCGGCTTACCATTTGTGGGCGAAAGTCCTACCGGAAATCATCGTTCCCCTGATGCTAAGGAGCCAAAGGTCATGGGAGGCAGCAGCAGCACTCGCAGCAAGCGTTCTGCGAACGTTGGAGAGGGAAAGGTGAGGAGCAGATGTCTAGGTGGTCATCTGTCGCGCGAAGCAGTGCTTTGCGGCGGTACCGCGAGATACGGCCCCCTATTCACGCACTAGTCATCGTTGTAAGTTTTTAAACTTTTACTCAGACTCGGATCAAAGATTTGGGAAAACTGCCCAAAAAGATCGGCAATTGCCGATCGCAATTGGGGAAGAGGCGGATTTACGCTTAGTAACACAAATTTATAAACCTATTCTGGAGATTTTGAAAGCTGGATCCTACAACGAGTTAAATGAGCTCTATAACACTG